CTCCAAATCTGAAAACTGCTGAGAAGTGGGTAAAGCAGAAGAGTCTTTTAAAGCATGTTCTTTCTTCTATGGCTTCTGCTAAGATAACCTCTAAATTAAAAATTGCAAGGAAGTAATTTGGCCTTCAACTCTCCTTAGAGTTCTTATTTAAAATGATAGTTTGTGCATTGAAAACATGAGAATATACCATGACAGCACAAACAAAATAATGGTGGTTTGTTTGCTAAGAAATTAGTTTGAATTTCCATCAACTGGGTAAGCTCAGGTTTCATATAAGCTGTTTAGTAATGACAGATACCCAAAACTGTTCCCTAAAGCATTTCTTGTAAGGTAAATGAATATATTTGAATGCTTTGTTAACAGTTGCATCAGAATTAGCAGAGATGCTCAAATAGGACTCTTAATATCTGCACTAGCCATGCAGGAGGGAAAAAAATGACCTAATTAGCTTTCTTTTATTTTTCAGTTTCTGTGAATGTGTGATAAATATTGTATAATTTTTCTTGCTGAAAGTGTTCTACCTGGTAGGCAGTCCTGGGAGGTTGTGTTGCATTAAAGTTGAATGCCAAGTTTGCTTAGCAATTATATTGTTAGATGGAAATACTTGTGGGTGCCTGAGCCTAGGCAAGCAGAATCCTGCATGGTGTTTTCTGCGTCTCAGATAAGGGCTTCATGGAGAATGTTTCTTTCCTCTCTCTTGTTTTTATTTTTCCATACAAAGAGGGGCATTTTCATGGATGAAGCTTTTCGTTGTCAAGGAAGTACAGGGGCCCTTTAAACCCCCTTTAGAGTTTTGTTTCCTAAGGGAGCAAAACCATAAACCCTTTTCCGTAAAGTATTAGATCTTGAACCTGGTTATTGTGCAAGTGATGGAAAAATGGGTCTGAGTCTTATATTTCTACGCACGTATTCTTCCAGGGCATAATACCTGCATGTGAATCCATATATTAAGCCACACTTTGGGAGATGCTTTGCAAAAACATCAATAAATACCTTTCCCCTCTTTATTTGTTTATGTTAAACTGCATTTCAACAAACAGCAATATTACCATTAAACTGGTTTACTGGGGGTGGCCATGCATTTATGGTTTATATGTGGGAGAGAAGATCCCTGCAAAGGCTGAATTTTAATTTTTAAGTTCTCTTGCAAAGAAGCTACTGGAAAATTACTTGGAAAAGGTGAAAAAGCTACCAGTTGAATATCTTTTGACAAAATAACAGACTGAAATATGAGCCTTAAACAGTTATTAATACCATCTGAGTAATTGCTTTGTACCTGAGAGGAAACCAATGGTAGGATGTATTCTATCTCTTACATGAAATAGATACAGAGTAGGAAATAGGCTTTTGAAATGAAGTGCGCCACTATATGAGTAATGCTTCTGCTTATTTTATTGCCACACTGGCTTATCTAAACAACTACACCCACAACTTGCTTTGAAACCATGGAATGGAGCATCATATTCGTATTTAAGAAGGCGATACCATTATCATGCGGTGGTTTTGCCTTTTTTCTTGGTTCTGCAGGTGCAAGATACGAAATTCAGCCTGTGAATACTGTTATTCCTTATTTCCCTCTTTGCTTTGCTCTTCTTTTCCTGAGGTACGAAAAAGAAAGATTTAATTTGAGGTCATTTGTTAGCAATTGCTTAAGATGCAAAGTTACCTTCCAGAGACTCAAAAATTACATAAATGTATAAATAAAAAATATTTTGAGAAATTTTAAATGGCGATGTTTTCTGTGGACAGCTTTCCCAGGTATAATCCCATCTATACTCTTTTTGGTTTTGTAGTCTAATCCTCCATATATGGAGTCCAAGTGACTCAAGAATTCTTATTTCTGAGGTAACTGTAGTACCTTTCTAGGAAACTGTGTTCATTCAGCACGTGTGTGCAAGATGACTAATAGTCATTAGGAATAATGTATTTTGATTTGTGGATAAGATGTATGGGAAACTCTCTTTTCCAAGATAAAAATACATTTAAACAATTGAATTTTCATTATGCTCATTTGATGAGTTCATTGGATTATTATAATTTAGCTCATACTGAAGTATTTTGTGCCTTTTTTGCCCAGTAAATACAAGGATATCAATGAACCCTTAATGAAAACCATTTTTCGGTGTCTTGGCACTTGCTCTTCTAGAAGGGCAGCTTTCAGTTTTCGAGACTCCTCATACTTTTATTTGTCGTTTTTTTAATAAGATGCTGTGACTGCTCAGTAAGCTCACTTCTACTAGAAATGGAGAAGCCTATCAATTTTTAGGAGCAGTAGATGCCAATTGCAATAATTGCTTAAAATACAGAGAGTTAAGATTACAGAGGGTAAAAGTGGCTCAATCCTGGTTTATAGTAAACCTGTGCAGTTGTGTTAGGTGAGATGTTTGCGGTATGCAGGATTTTCAGACTGAAATAAGGTTCTTCTTCTTTTTGTATCTCAAAAAGCTTTCTGAGTAGCCTTAGAATTTGACCTGTTTGGCAGAATTGTCTCTGTATTGTACCTCAGTACGGAATGAAGAGGACTTTTTTGACCTGTGAAACACAATACTAATAACTAACTCATCTTTCTGTTTTCTTGCTTCCTTTTTTTTTTTTTTTCTCCTTTTTAGGGGCGTTACTGAAGCTCGTTTTGTTTATGTCTTTGTTCTTGGCATAGTCTTCACTGGCACTAAAGATCTGCTGAAGTCACAGGTTATTTCTGCAGACTGCAGTGTGAAAAGCACAGGGCTGTGGGAAGTTTACAGTGGACTGGTTCTGTTGGCAGCCCTCCTGTTCAGACCTCACAACTTGCCTGTCTTGGTGTTCTGTTTGCTGATTCAGACTATGATGACGAAATATATCTGGAGACCTCTGAAATTCGACGCAGCGCAGACCACTATCATGCACTACTGGTTTGGCCAGGCTTTCTTCTATTTTCAGGTAAGCTGATTGCTGTCCCTGCCTGGTTTGGGGAGAGGGAAGGAATATCTGTGTGATTAATTTCGTTACGATTGATGGGGCAATTGGCTATGGTGTTAAAATATATATATATATATATTGGAACTACTCCTACTGTATTGTACCTTCTAGGAAGCTGAAACAAGTGAAAAACAGAAAATAATGAAGTGGTGCTAACATGCTATTCAGCATTTCACAGGTGAACATGAAATATAAAAAGTAATACGTAGCAGATAATAGAGCAAAACAGTTTCTGGTGGCCGAGGTTTTTGTGGTATTTCTGTTCGTGGGCAGTTGCAACAAGGCTCAGAGATGGAGCAGGAAGAGAGTTTTCAAAATGTTTAGATGAAATGCAGCCCATAGAAAGCATTCAAGGTAGGTTTTGGATCAAGAGCTTTTGCATCTGTCTGCTGAATAACAGTCTAGTTGAGTTGGGCAGGCACCTCTGGAGATCATCTAGTCCAGTGTGCCTGTCCAAAGGATGTTACAGGAGAAAACCTTGTGAGGGAGCACTGTGGCGTTGTATTCTAGGTGTACAGTCCCTTTGCCTTCAGGCCAGCAGAATAGAAATAAGAAGATAAGTACGTTTTGAGCTAGCAAATCTGCGGTGGGAGTGTAGCTGGAACTGGTTAAACAATTTTATATCTACTGCAATCTGAGATGTGCATAAGATTTGGGAAGACTTAGGGGAAATAATTCCCAGAACTATGGGGAAACATATTCAGCCACTTCGCAGACAACTGCTAAAGTTCTATAGCAATGTAGTCTATACCATTTAAATCCAATAGCATGTTTGTTTATTTATGTATTTTTACTGGTTTTGTACTGCTGTTACTGCAATATAAAGAAATATATTTAAAATTTGTGTTTTTCCATGGTGTTTGGGTACACATGGTGCTGTTGGATATTTTGTTTGCAGGGGTTTTTCCTGAAACCCTCATTGGTAGTTTTGGCATTTCCTCCTGTTGTTTCTTTTGGAAATAGTATCATCTGAAAGGATACAGATTTCAGCAAACCTGAGGGTGTTTTAAAAATTAGTTCTGACAAAGGGAGCCTCTGTATACATAGATGGGCTGAAATTCTCTGATCGTTGTTTGAGATCCTGATTGCTTCACTATTCTTTGTGCTTCCTCTGTAACTCTAAGATTTAGAGAATGAAGGGTAATCATTGCTTATCAAAGACTTTTGCAGAAACAGACCAAAGATCTCTCTGCTGTCTATTTTTCCTTCCTTCCCCCCCTTTTTTTTTCCCCTGGATTGGTTTATTATCAACTCTGAAATGTGGAAGAAAATGGAATTGAGTAAGGAGTCACCTTTTTTGTGTCACCTGAAAGGTATGCAAAATCCATCTTAGAAGTGATTCTTCTGAATTTAGCAATTGCTTAGTTTGTCAAAATTTTGTTCTCTTTAGCACAGAGTCTTTTAAAATGTTTCTCTTTCAAAAGATCTTGCAAACAACCCCTTGCAGTTTTTTTTGGTTGTGTTCTTCTAAAGCCAAGATGGCCAAGAGAGAATTAAATGCTGAATAATTTGTGGTAGAATGGGAGCATTTTTAGAACAAACAGCTTTGATTGTGGCCTTTTTAATACTAGAAATCCTTTAGAAATAAAGCAAATCTGATAGTGGAAAAAAAGACCTTTAAAAGATATATATATTTCTCCTTAACTGATCACTTCTCAGAGGATAATTTTTCATCCTTTTAAAAATACTGTAATTACATTTAGATTAGATCCCCTTTCTAGCATGGAGATGAAAAGTTAGACCAAAGTACCCCTTCAGGTACTACCTTGGTTCATTTATTTTCTGATAAAGGTTTTTTTTTAAGCAGTGAAAGGGAAATTTTTGGATCATATAAGGCTAAGAGAGCTTTTTTTGCACCTTTGCAAATGAAAGCAATTATGTGGAAAATACTTCTTGAGAAAAGCAAAATGGGTCTGCAAGTAACTTACAAAATTTAGAAGCCTCCAAACCTAGTTATAGCTCTCCCTTTAATTAGTGAATACATCCCAGTTTGTTTTAAGAATAGGCTTTCCTTCAAAGACTGCAGATCTAGGAATGGAAGAACCATATCCAACAGTTATGTTTTGTTTAATGCTCTTTATGTGTAAATTTGCTCAGTATGTAGTATCCTTGTCTGCATTGCCAGGGAAAATTAAGAGACTTGGCTACTCGCAAAGACCACTTCTTTATTTTTCCTTAGTTGTATTTAAATTTCTTCTTCCCCTTTCTTTGACTTCAAAGTCAAGAGGGCAAACTAGTTACAAATAAAAACTGTTCAAAGTAGTTCAAAATCAGGGTTTAAGTGTTTTATTGATTAATTAATCACATGGTGGTCGTTTATTAATGACACTTAATTGGCAATCACTGAACTGTCCCTTTCAGGATCCATTTGAGCCATACAGCAGACAAACACCATTTTTTTCTGCCTTCCTGTGCCTAATCTCTAAAAGATTAGATACAGTAAGATCTAACCCCTCCTGCTCTCACTTCCCCCAGCACGTAGAGCTCTGTGCCCTCCCACAGCTCCTGTATGTGCTGTAAGCACACATTATGTTCTGTAGCAGTTTGGGCTCCCATTTACTCATCCATCCTGCTCCACCATTAGGAATTTACCATAGAAAGGAGACCTTGAGAGATGACGTAGATGATTTTGAGTGGCTGCCTCCGAGTTCTTTCTTACCTGAATGATGCAGATGGGAGTCTAGAAGTGCCCCTACTTTTCATGATGTGGCTTATTGTATAAAAATAGAATTTAATTGTGAGTAAATCAGTTAATCTTCTTCCTTGCACTTTTGGGGAAAATGAAAGATTTGGCTTACTTTTACCTCCCTCCTACACCTTCCAATGAAAGTCTTCTTGAGTAAATTGCAGGCACCCCAGATTTAGCATTAGTTGTTGTGGCCGTCAACAGCAAGCTCTCAGATTTTGACTGACTTAGAAAAGGGTTGTACTTGAGGTGGAGAATGACGTGTCGTTTATTCTCATAAAAAACACCCCAAAATAAATGCTGAGTAAAAACATTGTCTTCTTTCTCTTGGAGAAGACTATCGAGTTCAAGACCATCAATAGCAACCTCTGATGAGCCTGCCAGAGTACCAGCTAGTTCTTAGTTTACCTCCTCTGAAGTGTGTGCTATTCATAAATGCCCATGTTCCTTTCTTGGGTACTTGATGTGCACTGCTGGCTTGTGTTTATATGTCTTTCCTGACACTTTTTCCTACCTTTCTCCTTAACTGTTCTCTTCATTACAAGAACTAGTGCTACTGAACAGTCATGATTCAGAGTGGTGCCAGGTTTTTAATACCTCAGCAAACATAAAGGTCCAGCCTAGCATGCAAAATATTAGCAGGTTTCTGGCTGAAAGTAAGAAATTTAATAACACTGAAATTTGCAGTCACCGTAGACTCTTAAATTGGATACTAATTTTACACTGTGCTAACTATGTGAGGCAGGAGAAGAAAAATATAAACTAAATATAAAACCTCTCCATCTGGTAATAGAGCGTAGATTTGGAGAACTATTTTTGCACGTGCCCTGCTGTGATTATGAGGTAAATGAGAGTTCTTGACCGTGTTGCTGGGTCTTTATTAAATTTTGTTTGGCAAGACAACGCTTTATGACAAAAGCAGGAACTGTCTCACTGAGCGTGAGTGTAAGTGATGGCCTTTAGAATTTGATAGTGAGTAAAAATAGCTTTATTCAGGATTACATATTTAACAAATGAGGCAGAGTCCTTTTGAAAAATTTTGCCATGTCCTTAAGGACTTCATGCAGTTTTGATGATGACATTCCTAACTATCTAGAGTAAACACTGTTCTTAGGAAGAGTTATTATTTTTCATTAGATTAATTGATATCAGGAAAAAAAGGTTGATACAGATTGATAGTTGAAGAAAATGATGAAAAAACAAGGTCCTGAGTGTGGCAGCTGGCATTTTCATCTTGAGCAATAGTAAAAAAAATCAAGTTAAATGCGGGCTAAAAGAGCCTGTCTGCAGTTTGCATTTGCTCTTGCACCTTGCAGTTTATCCGTGTGCCTCTGCAGAAGCAGAGCTGCCCAAGTGAAGGCGCCTCTTTTCTATGAATAGTCACCTACCCGCTGTAACTAGTATACCATGCTTCTACTTCAGGCAAATAAGTAAAGTATATGACTTATAGCAGAGCGCAGTTTTTCTCCAACTCACCTGCAGCCGAGCTCAAAGTATTCCACAGGCAATGTAGTTATATTCTCTTTTTCTCTGGAGTGGCTGCCTGCCTTCCCTCATTTGCCTCTGCAGCTTAGTTACCAGCTGTGTTTGCAGACTTTCTAGCCAGCTGGTGTGACCTCTTTACGTGCAGCAGTTCTTCTCAGCTTGTATTTAGAGCAGGTTTTGTGCTTGACCCTCTTTGCGCATCTCTTGACTGTGACAGCGAGATGCCAGCTATCTCCAGGTCCTTTTCTTCCTTCGAAGCCTTGCTCATGGCAGGACGGAATGAGGCTCCAGATGGAGAACTTTGCTTGTCACGTATTTTGGTTGCTAGAGCCTTTGTTTTTCAGTCGTGACTGCTTCTGACTTGACCCATTCATGCAAATATGTGTTGAACTAGAGTGGTGGGGCTGTTCTTGCGCTGCGTAGCTAATGCCACCAACTGCTTACATGCCTTGCATTTCATTTGCCTCTTGCCCTTCTGCACAGTGGGAAGGCGGGAAGCAGAATCCTCCATCACTGCAATATTTCATCCATAGGGAATGCACACAGCCTGCACCTCGAGCACAGGAGTGGCTGCTTAGCACGTGAAAGGAGTGGGGAATGGACAAACCCAAAGCTGCATTGCTGCACAGCCGTTTCGCTGCAAACGGCAAAACAAGGCCCAGACATCTGAGTAATAAAGAATAACGAAGAATAATAAAGAGGCTAAAGGAGACACCTCCATGCGGGAGAGGTGGTTTTGTGCATCGGTCCTCAGCTATGCGTTCAGTTGTGTAGCGTGAGAAGTTTATAGTGGTCAGCAGGATAGTTTGGGAGCTCAAGAGAGCCGAGCAGCAAGGCCAATGTGCCTGATCCACAGGGCAAGGCCTCAGCTCCTCCTTACAAGAACTGTCAAAGAGGACTCTCTTGTTCCCTAGCAAGCCTGCTTCAGATCTGGAGAACTGTTGTAGCTACAAAGATGTTTATGGTCAGAAAGGCAGTGGTTGCCTGGACCATGATGCACAGTCTCCATCCTCGGAGATTTGCAAAACATGACTGGGTAAAGTCCTGGGCAGCTTCCTGTCACCTTTTACAGCTGACCTGGCTTTGAAAGAGAAGTTGGAATAGACATCTTCAGACCTTCTGTCCAACCTCAATTATCCTATGATACCATGGTCCTGTGTTATTCATGGAAATAGCAGCTTGTTTTTTAGTCTAGTTTTGCGAGCTTGCTAGGATCTCTGCTTTATATTGCTCTAAATACAGATATTCAGTGACCATAGAAATAAATGTCATGATATCTCGATTGCCTTTCCTAACTACACTGGCCTAAAATTTTATGCTGATGGTAATCATTTTTAAGATATTTTAGTTACCTTGAATGAAAACAAATACATTAAGAACAGCAATAAAAGCCTTCATGTTTCTGCATGTCTTCTGCAGCTTCACCTGTCTAGTGTCTTTGTTATCCCACCCTTAGAGCAGTGCACCTGAAGTAAAGGGGAAAGACAACACAGATTTTCTTAAGATTTTTAACGGTTTCTTATACATTTGGGAATTTTTCTTTTGTTAGAGGAGAACAACTTAGGCTTGTGTATTTTTAGAATAATTTCTCTCTAGTTGATTTAAGATAGAGAAATGGACTGGATGACATTTTAAAATGATTTATAGCTCTGTTTTGCTGTGATTTTAAAGGATCATAGAATAATTTAGGTGCAAGGGAACTGCTCAGAGCAGGGTCAGTTATGAGGTCGGGTTCCTTAGGGCTTCATTCACTTTGGTATCAAAGCTTCCAAGGATGGGTATTTCACAAACTCTCCAGGCAACCTGTTCCAATGCCTGACTGTCATTGCTTTTTCACCTTGAATTATTTGGCTCAAGTAGATAAAACTATTTCCTCGTTCTGTGTTTGTTGATACATTCCAGTTTATAGAAAGGCATAGACTTATGGGAAGGGCACACTGGGAGAGCAGCAGCATTTCACTTTTTTACTGGTGTTTAAACAAGCCAGAAGCTTCTCAGTCTTGTGTTGCATCTCTATTCTTTCCAAATCCCTAGATGTCATGAGGATACTTAAGTTAATGTCTCACATATATGAGGGATGTAATTGGAAAGAAATCAAGAGGGTTCGGGGTCGTTTTTGGTCCTGTCTATGGAAGGATTGTTTTCAGTTATTTTAGCAAGTGTTTTTGGTAATTTTGCTAGCGAGTGTTTTTGCTTTTGTGCTTCCTTGGTCCAGGTCGTGGTGGATCACCATTGAATGCCTTTATGCAATGCCGAATTGTCTCCTGTCGCTTTCAGCCATTACCAAAATAAGCTATTGCACTGTTTGAAATGTTTGAGCAATGCTTTAAAGTAAAAGCTGATGCTCTGAGTTGTCAAAATTATGTATGTATAGAGTACGTAATTAGGAGGTACACAGAACCACAGAGCGGCTGAGGTTGGCAGGGACCTCTAGAGATCACCTAGTCCAACCCTCTGCTCCAGCAGGGACACCCAGAGCACGTGGCGCAGGGTGGCATCCAGGCGGGTTTGGAAGATCTCCAGAGAAGGAGACTCCACAGCCTCTCTGGGCAGCCTGTGCCAGGGCTCTGTCACCCTCACAGGAAAGAAGTTCTTCCTCACATGGAGGTGGAACTGCCTGTGTTTCAACTTGTACCCACTATCCCTTGTTCTGTCACTGGCCACCACAGAGAAGAGCCTGGCCTCATCCTCCCTACAGTGACCCCTCAGGTATTTGAACATGTTGATCAGATCCGCTCTCAGTCTTCTCTTCTCCAGAGTAAACAGCTCTAAGCTACAAAAATCCAACGCAAATTAGTCTTCGAGAAAGTTATTTGACATGAAGAAAATATGTATCTCCCCACTATAGCAGGCTCTTCAATGAGCACATGGGGCGACAGAGAGCCCCTTTGAGCTCTGCGTGCGGTGGGCAAGGCAAGGCACCAGGAATCATGCCAGCTCTGCACGTGCTGTGTGAGGGAGAAGGAAGGGAGAGCAAGTGGGTAGATACGTTGGAGAAAAGACCTGCTGCTGTACAGGAATGTGGGATAAAGAGAGCGGCTCCCCTCTCCGCTTGTCGTGGATCGGTTTGTTGAGGAGCAGCACCCCATCCTGCGCTAAGAGCGCTGCACCGAGCTGCCAGCTCTCGGCACGTTCTCGCTCTACTCCCCTTAGACCTCCTGAGGAGGCCTGACTTGCAGCTTTATTTTCCAGTGTAATGTTCCGGGCCATGGATATTCCTTATGCCTGGCTCCTGCTCTTTAGCTCTCCTTTGTTCCTGTTATTGCTAGGTGTTGCATAATAATAACTTACTACAGTGCTGTATGGCAAAGGCCAAAATAAGGACAACTGTGATAGTCATTGGTCAAAATTTTACTGCTGTATAATGTTTTGACAAAATGCATCCCCTACTGCCCTCTTACAGTTACAGGCTTGCATTACATTCTGGCACGATCTTCATACTGGAATTCATGGGGTCTGTAACCAGCGATAGTTTGGTCTAACTCATTCTGCCAACAGTAATCGCTTCTTTTGTTTGGTTTTAGAGTTGCTTCACAGGCAGCTTCTGGTGAATGGTTCCCTATGAGCCAGCAATGTGCTCTTGCAGTAGAGAAGGTTAGTGGTACCCTGGGTGTATTAAACAGAGTGATGCCAGAAGGAGGTGGAGGGAGGACCTTCATTTCTGCTCACCACTGTTGAGGCCACACTTGCAGTGTGGGGTTCCCAAGAAAAGAGAGACAGAGATGTCCTGGAGCAAGGGGCCACAGGATGAGGATGGGATTGGAGCATCTGAGACAGGTGAGGCAGCAGGAACTATGAAGGCTCAGGGGGGATCTTATGTGTATAAGTATCTGAAAGGGGGTTACAAATAAGACAGGGTCAGAGTATTTTTGGTGATGCTCAGAGAACTTCTAGAAAGGGTCCAGTGTAGAGCAACAAAGATGACTAAGGCTCTGCAGTGTCGATTGTATGAGAAAAGACTAAGCGAGCTGGGCCTATTTAGCCTGGAGAAGAGAAGATTGAGAGGAGATCTGATCAGTGTGTATAAATACCTGAGGGGAGAAATGTAGGGAGGATGGAGCGAAACTCTTCTCCGTGGTGGCCAGTGACAGGACAAGGGCTAATGGCTACAAGCTGAAACACAGGCAGTTCCACCTCCATGTGAGGAAGAAATTCTTTCTGACAGAGCCCTGGCACAGGCTGCCCAGAGAGGCTGTGGAGTCTCCTTCTCTGGAGATCTTCCAAACCCCCCTGGATGCCACCCTGTGCCACATGCTCTGGGTGTCCCTGCTGGAGCAGGGGGTTGGACTAGATGGTCTCCAGAGGTCCCTTCCAACCACTCTGTGATTCTGTGAATAAGCAACAGGCACCAACTGAAGCACAAGAAAGTCCATCTGAATCTAAGGAAATCATCATCATTTTACTGTGAAAATGATGGAGAACTTAGGTTACCCAGAGAGGTTGTGGAGTCTCCTTCCTTGGAGACATTCAGAAAATGCCTGAACAGGGTCCTAGGCCATATGCTGACCTTGCTTGAGCAGGGAGCTTGGACTGCATGGTCTCCTGTGGTCCCCTCCTCAGGAAGGGACCCTTCTGCCATTCTGCGTGATTTCAGTGCAGTCTGTTGTGTAACTTTCCAAGAAACTTGGAAAGCAGAAACCTCTCTCTCTAGATTTGCAAGTGTTGATTGAGTAACTTGTGTCCTGGGGGAAGAGGACAGGGACATGTTCCACTCGAGGTCTGAATTAGAGTGCTGCTCTCTCTAAGGGCAAGAAGTATTTATTTCCCTAGTGTCTGGTGTAGCTTTAGACCCCAGGCTGATTGTCTTGTTTTGAATTACATGTAATGAAGAATGCTTGTTTATTTTTTCATCATTACAACAGAAATCAGCAAGTGCTGCTGCTTGCTTAAAGTCTTTTTGTGATGTAATTTATTAAACAACAAGTGTGTGTGTTTGAAGACAAAAAAAAGGACAAACGAGATCATGGTGTGTATGCCTTCATTAGTCTGCAGATCCAAAATAGCTCTTGCTTGATGAGTTTCTTTATTGAAACCCAACTGCAAAGAATATGGCTGTACTACAAAGGGGCTCAAAGATTAAGCCTTTTACTAGCATAATAATTAATCTTATTGTAATGTATCCTCGCTGTTGCCTTGGAGATATCTGAATGTTTCTTTTATTATTCTTTTCAGGGAAATTCGAATGGCATTGCTACTGTGGATGTTTCAGCAGGGTTTGTGGGACTGGACAGTTATGTAGAGATACCAGCGATCTTCCTGACAGCATTTGCCACATATGCAGGACCTCTGCTTTGGGCCATCCATCTGCTGTGCTACCTAAGTTCTGAAGTTAGCAGGTAATCATGTGTAGAACTAAGCTAAGGCTCCTCTATATACTTCAGGTACAGGCATCCATCCATGTAATGTAGTTTTCTTCACCGATTTTTCTCCTTGGGAGATATTTTTCCATGGAGAAAATGTCAATTCTTTTTTGATATGAGTTTATACTGCCCCAGTATTTATGTTTCTTTTTGTCTGCAGAAGTTTTGCTCTGGGATATATGTGTATGTTTTGCTACTTTTGTTTTTTTAATGGCTTCTGAGTCTAATGTACTGTTACTATGGTGTATTGTAACAAGGAAAAATATTAAGATGATGCCTGAAAATGTTCTTCGTGATGCCTATTAAATATAAGACCTGAAAAGAATAAATATAAGACCTGAGATGGGTTTTTCTTAGTAATGGAATAGAATTCTAATTTCACTGGTGTGCTGTCCTTTGTGAACAGTTGTGATTACTTGTGGCACAGAGGCACGCAACATTCTATTAAAAAGAACAAATCTGTCTTACAGTATAGGCTAGCTGTTATTGCAGGCATTTGTAGCTAAAATATTTGTATATTTGGGCCTTTGGGTGTCGTGTGTCAAAGGTGTGTTAAAGAACATAAAATGAATTGCTGCATTTGGAATTTTAGGAAGAACGGTAGGAAAGATGTTCATGAAACCTGGAGTGTGTGTGTAAACATACTCTTTCATCTTGCAAGTTTAATTCATCATCCATGACACTATTGCTGAGAGAAGCAGTGTGCTAAGAGAGATAGGAGCTATAAATTCAGTAGTCTACTCTATCAGTCCCCAAATGTAAAACATTGATATATTTTCAGTGAAATTACATTTGTCAGTGACTAGATTTTTACCATCCCAGAGCTTTCACTAGTCTGCTACAAGTGTTTTCTTCATTACTGCAGAACTTAGAGTTACCCTAATATTTTTTTTTTTGATGAGAAGCAAAACATTTTTAGGAGGTGTGGCAGGTGGGATTTTAAGCATTATTCAGGCATGTTTAGCTCATCATAACTCTTTGGCTTTTGCATTATCATGCCTTGTAGACACATTTGGTTCCTGTTTATCTATGAAGCCTCATGCCTCGTGCTTTTTCTTATCTAGCTTTTCTTTTCTCCTCTTCCCTGTTTGTCTTTGGCTATGCCTAATGATGAATTTATGTTGGAACATACGTGTTTACCAAAGGCTCAGAGAGGTGAGATCCACAGAAGACCTGTCTGCATAGAGTAATGGGAGTTTTCAAACCAGAAAGGACCTGTTCTAACAGGATAAATTTCTGCAAATCCATTGCGTCTAACACTCTTTATTAACGGGCTGTAGGGACTGCTCCTTATTCACGGATTTGCTACGTCTGCCCAACTGCTCTGTAGAGACACCAGGCTCCCTCCACTCAGCTTCAGTGGAGCCCTGTGCTCTGCCACAGCACTGTAAAGCACTCGTGTAGGCTGGGAATGTGACCTCCTGTTTTGAGACCATCTTTGATCTTACCTAGACTGACACTGTCTAAGTATTGGTCTTTGTGTGGAATACGTCTGAAATCCATGCTTTGATCTGTTCATTCTCGTGTCTTTGGCTTTAAGTGGAGTACATGTGGAATATACAAACTACTGATGTTTGGATTTACATAACCACAGAAACTCCTTTCTTGAATTATCCATGCTACCTCATGTCCTGACGCTAAACTCATTTTCATCTCTTCGTTTTAGCTTTAGTTACTGTTTTGTTCCATCTGCCAGTTGTTTTCCAAAGTCTTCAACCTTTCTGCTTTCTACTCTCTTTTAAAGAATGACTATTTTCACAGAAAAGCCCCTTCCTCTTGTCTTCCAGTAAGTGTGACCCAATTCCCTGGTTATCCCTCCCTTTTTATTAACCTTCTGTTTTTCACAGTGAATTCCTTTATTCCTCTTTTCAGCTCCACCACAGTCTTTTTAAGAGTGTTTGGTGGTTCTGTGGGTTACATTCATATTCCTGTGTTTTCTTTAAACTGTCCCACTCTCCATCTTTCGTTATTGCTCTGCAGATCCTTTGCATTTAGCTTTTTGCTCTTGCATAGAGGAGTGCAAGCACAATGGTGTAGGTGCAGTACCACTGTGTGGGGAAGGGAGTCAATAAAAGCTACCTAATGCTTTAAAGGGCCAAGATTTTAGTTTTACTGAAACCCCAGATGGTAGGCTGTGATTAGCATACATTTAGGAACTTACAATTAAGAGAAAGCAGCACCATACAGCATATTTTTAAAGCTGTTACAACAAAGTAATCAAAAATTTTATGTAAGCTATTCTAACAAAATAATTGAAATCTTTTTGTAGCAACATCTTTAAGGATCTGTATATGTTTAGTATTTTTTCAAATGTGTCCCTTAGTAGTGTTGGTTATTCTTGTGTTGTTTTCTTGGTTGAGTTATTGCAGACTAAAAGCTCAGCTAGTAGCTTTGCCAGGTACAGTGCTGGTTTAAACTGCTCTCAAGTGGGCAGCTGTGACCTGAAATAGCCACATCACTTACGTAAGTAAATCCCATTGAGCAGCTTGTGTCCACAGACATTTTAAGATTTATTTGGGTCAGCTGGTAAGGTGGTTTCCTCTGTTCTAAACAACGCTGGACTAAAATCTTTCAAATCTCTAGGACTTGTTTAAATTGAAATTTTTTAGTGCTCAGGGCTTTGTCCTGCACACCTTTCCTCCTACCCTTGTGTTGGTTGTTGCTGGGTGTCTGATTGTGTCCTTTCTTTGCTTTTACTGCTTGGACCCAAAGCAGAAACTGCGGAGCCGTAGGTCAGCTGCATCAAGTGATCCCTTAAAAGTGGGGAAACTTGAGCTTGTAAAACAGCAGCTGAATGCTTTAAAGTGTTCATACAAGCTTCTTACTAACTCTTTCATAAGCAGTATACATTGGTCCTCCCGAGGATAAAGGCCCAAATCTCCAGCCTCTGGGGCATCAGCCAGTCCAGTCCTCCTGGTCTAAGTCCTGGTTTAAGTCCTGCAGGTGTTAATGCTGAAGGTGCAATTCAACATTTCTTTCTGAACCCATCATTATTTTACATAAGTAGTTGTTAATTCCTTTCTTTCTACCCCTCACCCCCTGATGAGTTGATAAAAAAAAAATTGACAAAGGATTGTTTACAATTAAGAACACACTACTGCTGCTTTCTATGGAATGATAATACCTTCTGTCAGTTGCACTTACCAGGAAACTAGCGCTCTGGTTAAAATAAAACATACGAAAGAAGCTACCATCCTGTTCCCATGTGTGATAGTCTGGAGTGATTCGAAATTGGGATGGGGTTTTATTGCTACAAGCTGGCAGAATATTAAATTCATTTTGACACCTCCTGAGGTCTTTGTAAAGTGTTGGGAGAAGTTGTGAGCACAGAATTTATAAATATGGATTATCTTTGCTTTACAGAGATAGAGGTAAGCACTGAAGGAGATCTGGAACTTAAAGCTTGCCTTTTTTGGCAGAGTTGGCGTATCTATCATAAAGTTTGTTTTCAAGTGACAGCCCTAATCAGGAACTCAGGCTCCGCTGTGCTTGCTACCGCCCAAAGGCTTTGCCAGAGTAGTGCAGGCAGCTTTAAATGGTCTGGTTGGTGCTGTGTAGTGCCACTGCTACAAGATTACCACTGATAAAACTGATAGCTTAAAAAGGAAACACTTCAAGTAAGTACGGAAGGCATGTTTTCTAGTTAGTAGGTGTTCTTCGCTTTGTGGGCAGTCTTAAACTGAATGTAAAGAGTTTTGGGGTTATATTTTTGGTTTCTGCCACTATTCCTATGTTATTAGAGTTTTGCTGCTTTCTTCCTTTTGCTTTTTTGGTGTCCCTTTAACCCATAGCAGTATGTTCAATTGCACGTGGCTTAGTGGCCAAACAGCCTCACAGCTTTCCTTGTATCTGCAGAGCTTTGAGCTGCTGCGTATTCTACTGAGGGTGCAGTTGCTCGGTGCTAGATTACTGTAAAAAAGCTGCAGTATTTGACTTCTGCTCTTGTCTGGAACCTCTCTGTCCTGAGACAGTGCCTTTTTTTGGCATTATGGGCAGGTAGATTTGCCAAATGTTGCTTACATAAAGTAGTTTATTAAACATAATATACACATAGGCTTATTGGATCAATAAGCAGAGCAAACAGCTATGATGCTAGGCTGGACTTCTTCAGGCAGAAATTTCGGGCCTGCTGATAAATAAACCAGTGTTTATTCAAATAATACTGTTGATTTAGGCAAGATCTGTACTCTAGAAGAACAGAGAGAGGCTCTGAAGGACTTTTTAAGAAGAGGCTAAATTATATCCTCTGTGAGTGAACTTCCAGCCACGCTTTTTATTGTAATGAAATGAATCTGTACCATGAGCACTGCCCGCCTCGAGATCCAGCTGCGCACGCGCACCGGGGCTTGTCACTGTTGTGCTGGTGATAACACTTCTCCTAATCCTGCCTTCAGCAAGAGAAGGTGGGTCACTAACAGCCCCAGCGAGCAGCCTCCGCTCGTCTGCCTGAGTGTTCCAGGCCTGAGGAATTGGAAAATGTTAATACACAATTAATAGGGCTGGTAATGGGTTGGCAGTGACCTCTTCTAAGGTAAAGCATATATCTGTGCTCAGCTTTGGGTTAGTTTGCTGAAGTGGTGTCCTTGGAGCACTCCACGCTGAAATGATAACCCAGTTTCAGACAGCCATCTATTACTTATTTGCTTCAAAAGTTATCCTTACATATAGACAGCCATAAGTTCTTCTGCTAACCAGCAGCTGCTTGTGCCATAAAGAAGGCCCTTTTCTTTGTCTCACACATCCCACCTCTCGCACCTTCCCTCTGCATCACACGCTCTTTCCCCCTCTGTATCCCCCCAGCCGGTGCTATTTTCTATGCTGATTCTCTCATGCACCGCCCCTCCTCCTCCTTTTTTGTGCTGTCCCGCTCCATTTCCCTATCCTGTGCTGTCCTGCGTTATCTCTTGCATGCGTTGCCGCTCCATAATAGGCTTTCTGTCTCCCGAGTGCCCTTTCTGTCTCTTGCTTTCTCTCCC